TTTTTGTGGGGAATGCTGACCACCCCTCTTGAGCATCAGGAACTGAACTCAGGCTACAAGACATGCGTGAAAATTTCCGATTAGCCCAGAAAGCTGGCAAGGCGACTTGTGGAAAGGAGACACACAGAGAGAAGCAAATCCATGAAACCGTAAGCCCCAGCTGCCGGATGACTGGGGTTCTCCTCTCAGCAGTACTCAGAGCACTTTTTGAGATGTTTCCCACGGTGACCTGGAGCAGGAGCAGACGCTAAGCACGTCAACCGTCAGACTCCGGAGAAGACAGGATCTCGCATTCCACATTGTGTGCAAGGGTTCATTGGCCTCGCATACCTTGGCAAGACCTTCCATCTTCGTTGAGGGTAAAACCAGGGTTGCAGGTGCAGGAATAGGAGCCAGGAACATTCGCACAAAGTTGCTGGCAATAGCCGTAGCGACATTCATCAATGTCTGGAAAGAGAAACGCTAGCAAGGTGAGACATTTTTTCCCGATCACCAGTGCCGCACCCGGCATCATGACCATCCATCGCTTCCAGAGCAGGATCAGGACGGGAGGGGAAAGAGAAGACAGTACCGACTGAGTGTCAGGGATGGTGATACCCTCCGGAGTCTAAGGCTCAACCCACTTACAACCCTCCCTGACCCATCTCAGTCCCGTGAGCACCTGCCCCTGTCTGGAAAGTTCTAGAAGCAATGTCTGCCTTGACTGGGATATGGGACAAGACAGCCTCCAAGATTTTATCCAACTCCAATACTCAAAGCTAAGATTTATCCAACAAGAGTCCACTCGAAGATTCTGTAGAAACGTCACACGGCCCCGGGAAGGGACAAGTTGGCTTAAAATGTGAGAGGAATCCACAGCCTTGCTCCAACAGGCTCCTCCCCAGCTCTGTTAACAATGATCTGTCTAGCGCTCGGGAACAAGAACAAGTGTAGGCCAGGACAAGCAGGGCAGCACGGCAGTCTGGAGACCTATGATCCAGTAACACAAGGATGCCAGAGTTCGCCTTGGATCTCCTGCTTGCACCAGAGCAGACATAAAACTCCGGATAAACACGCCTCTCCCAAGCCATGGCTGGCCTTTCCCGAGCAAGCAGCTCCGGGGCTGAATGGAGCCTTTTAGCAGAGCTGGGCAATATGCCCTCCCTGCTGACATGTACCAGTCAATGGGGAGCCTGATGTCATTGGGAAAGCACTTCCCAATACTCCAGGTTAATGGGCTGATGGGCAAGAGAATTCACTCCTCTGGGATGGGATGCCTTGAATGGGAAGCCTACAGATGGAGACCCAGTCCTGACCTATACAAGTAACCTGCTGTGACCCGTTGATCCAACTGCAGCTATAACTGGTCCTTATCTTATCCCCACCTCCCCCAGATGTTCCCTCCCCAGTATCCCAGTTCCTTGGAACCAGAGTCCAGCCAGGGCTCTGGAGACCAGTTCCGATTCTGTCTCTGTCCCTGGTTTCTACCACCCACTGCCAGAAAGGACCCCTTCTCCACCTTAGCCAGTGTTCAGCCCCCTCAGAGGCTGTGCCCTGCCCTTGTGATCCTGTTTTACATCTGAGCAGCTGCTACTTCTAACCCGGCCCACCACACTGCCCACTGAGCGCTCTGCAGCTCCTGCTGGGAAAGCACACTGACTAGTGTGGTCGCTGGTCCTGACCTTTCCCAGCATGCAGCTGGGCACGTCACCGAGGCCAGGGAGGTCTTCACTTCGGATATGAAGTGTGAGCGGGTTGAGCATGTGGCACCACGTTAGGCTTACAGGAGCATCCCTCCCAAAGCTTCAGGCCCCCGTGGAAGAGAACAGCCCTCCCAAGGAGAGAAATGTCCCAGTTGCTGGCCCCCCTCACATGGGGAAGGGTTTCCTGGCCCTAAGGTCTCAAAAATGGAGCCTGTGTCCCGCTCACCTGGTCCTCTCTAGCGCTCCCTTGTGGTGGAAAAAAAAACTGGCCTGAGAGAGAGGAGCCAGATTTTTTGTTCAAAATGTTCCCCCTCTTTGAGTCTCAGTTTCCAACTCTATAAAAGTTGGATGACATAATATCTAACATCCCTTCCAGCTCTGAGAGCCGACATATTAAGTTCCTGTGCAAATAACTCACTCACACTGATCTGCTTATGTTCAAATTAGTGGCATCAAATTTTCCATAATAGCTGCGGTTGGTTAAAATGCACAGTGACCATCATATTCACAAATGCCCCCATGTGCAGCCAGCTCTCCAGTGCACGCCTGGAAAGAAGAACCAAGCCAAGTCTAGTCTGGCTTATCAGGCCCCAAAGATGCTTCAGACAGGGCTCTAGAGCAGACCGACACTCAAGTCTTAATCAAGGGAGTCTTGGAAAAAAGAACCTTCTTTTTTTTTTGTTTTGTTTCCATGATGCTGTTTGGATTTGTTTCTCCACTCCTCCAGGACTGATTTTTGGGCAAGAGAACAGTGTCTTAGAGAACTTAAACTGGTAAGGCTTTTCCAAGAAAACACAGCATAGAAATCACACCCTAGAAATAGAATTCAAGTGACAGCTAGAGATTGCTATGAATTCATTCTCTTGGCTAAACCAAAACCAGAGGGGAAGAAAGGCAAATAACTCTCCAGTAAAAATAAACAGAGAGATCATATAGCGGATGCCAACTGCAAGGGACAAAATTCTCAATTGGTGATGATTGATTCCTTCAGAGTAAAAAGACCACAAGCTAGTGTGGTGGGTATTGGGAGGAGGTGTTAGAATCTACTGATCCACATTTGAGACTTGGAACATTTCTGTGACTAAGCAAGTGTTCCCTTCTCTTAGTATGATTAGTATGATTTCTAACTAAGATAGAAAGGAAGCAGGTCTAGGCAAAATCAAATAGGAGCCCTTAAAACTTACATTCAAAAACTCTGATAATGATATTGACATGATGGTCACAACTGATTTGAAGGAGCAGTGCATAGCCTTCCACCTCCCTACCCTCCCCCCCAAAGAAAAGCCCACTGCCCTTAGGCCACCCAGTTATGCCCCCATTCCACAATACCCCTGGCGACCATTAACTTCCAAGAGCCTCTGCGAGCCCCAGGGAGCTGTTTACCTAAGCACTGGCCTTCCAGAAGCCAATAGCCATCGGTGCAAGAGCAGGTATACCCTCCTTCCGTGTTGATGCAAATCTGGGTAGGGTTGCACTGGTGAGAATCCGTTGCACACTCGTCCACATCTGTAACACAGACATATTCCAGAAAACGTCACCTACATTTATCCAGAGCCCTGGAGCCACCAGGAGTGCGGGCTGCTTGCTTGTCCTGGGAAGGAGGTGATAATGTCTACAGGTTACATCCAAGGAGACGGACACCCCTCCCTGATGGATACCACCAGGAGACACTGACCTTTTTGGAGGGGGCAGACCTAGTCTGCTCCCCAGAAATCCACAAAAGAAAATGGCCAAGAAGAGAACACACATTCTGTGGGAGTCTTCTGAGGTCCCGCCCCATCACTTTCTGAAAACAGGTCACCTTGATAATAACCATGACTTGATTTAGAAACACGTTTTGTCTTAGGTGGATTCATGCAGGTGTTAAACAGGGGTCTGTTGCGTACCTGCCCAAGAAACACCTCTGAGAACATAACAGAAGAGAGAAATAAACGTCTCCCGCCAAAGGAAGCTGGGAGTGGAGCCACTTGATTGTATCCTTCACGAGAATCGTTCAGCCTGGGGCTCCTGCACCTTCCCGAAGCTTCACGGAGCCCTGCAGCCTTCCTCCCTGCTCCAGAGCTCCTGGGACTGATCTCCTCCTGCCCTCTGCTCAACACTGGGGCTCTCTGCACAGCTGAATGCCCCTGGCCGTCTGTCTGGCAGTGTGTGGGTACCTGTGTCCAAGTCAGCCCCTTCTCCCTAATCAAGAGCTTCAGAGTATAGAGACCAAGCTATAAGCATGGCACATTCCTCAGGACATCGGGTGTACACACTCAGCTCTCAAAACTATTTCAATGGAAACAAATCCTTCTGCCCTTTCTCCCTGCACTGCACTTGAGAGAGAGTACTTGGCATCCTGTAACAGGACCTCCTGACACCACACACTCTCATTTCCATCTGGAGGAGGAGACTTTCCGTAAACATTCATCTATTAATTCACTGCACGGGATCCATCAAGCGCCCCGGATCCCACGTCAGTGCCTCCCCTCCTTGTCAGCCTCCCTTTCCTATCCGTATTTTAGCAGGGCGCCTGCATTTCACTCCCCTCACTCCTGCACTCGGGGAGCCCTCAGCTACATCTTCTCCCTGCCTCCTCCAAAAGGACCACACGCAGTTGGAAACAATATTAAGAGCTACTCACCGAGCACGTGTAGCATGCATATGCTGTGTCCGCACGTCATGTGTATGTGTCGTGTGCACGTGTACCACGCACGTGTAGTCCGCATGGCGTGTGTGTATGCGGTCTGCCCGTATTGTGTGCACAGGTCGCGTGTATATAGCGCACGTCACAGATGCTACCATATTTATTCTCACAAACCCTGCCAGGGGGACTCATGACCCCCATCTTACAGATGGGAAAACTGTGCTGATACAGTGAACAAGTACCAAGCCAAGAGCTGAGCCCAGGGCTCCCTGCCTCCCTGACTCCAAACCCCGCTGTGCAGGAATGGCCGAGGTCATATCACCAAGGCGGGTTCAGGTAACACCACCACAGTCCACCCCCCACCCCCCGCGACACATCAACACCGATGATGCCAATCAATCCCCGCCCCACCCCAAATGATCAGAGGTCTGGGCATTGCAGGAAACCAGCCTTCAGTCCTCTAAATACGCAGCTTCCAAGAACCCGGCTCCAAGGTGGTGGCAGCCTCCGTTCCAACCCGACACGCTGATGACGTGCAGCCTCCCCGTGGCAAAAACCCAGCCTGTTCTTGGCTGCAAGGGCTCCTGCCTCTGCCCTTGGCCTCCATTCCACCCTCAGGGCTGCCCACCCAGCAGAGCCTCCCAGGGGAACCAGAGAATAATGCTTGGCCAGCAGCCACTCAGGCTCCAATCCCTATCGAAGACTATGATCATAAATAATGTCACTATCGGCCAGCGCATAGTTACATTTTTCTGGCCCGGAGTGATGGATGGCAGCCCTACCCTGGGAACAACAATGCCTCAGGAATTTGCATGCTTTTTCCTGCCTTGAGGGGATTAAAGGGTGAGAGTGACCCAAGGGGAGAAGAGCCATTAGACTTGGTGATAGCAAGTTCCCAAGACTCTGTGTTTGTGTAACTCACACACACAATGTGCCGACGGACTCCTGCAGAGAGAAACCGACCTCGTACCAGTGGGCCAGACGGGGCTCCCCAGGGGCGTGTGGGGCCTGAAAGGACGCAGGCGTGCGTGCACACACACACACGCACGTGCAAAACAGTCCAGCCTAGAAACTACATCTTGAAAGTGCATTTTTTGAAACACTCCGCCACTTTTACTGAGTTAAAGAATTAACTCGATTCGACGGCAATTCTGTCGACGTATGTTCAAAACTCTACATTTTCCACTTTCACTCACCGAATGGATTGTCAATATATACATATTTTTTTGAGAACCCTCTAAGTTCCTGGAGTTTTTTGGAGGGTGTGTCTTACCTTTATATCCTGAGAAACATACCTGGTGTGACGCTGCGTCCATAGCAAATGTTCAGTAATTCTTTGGTGAATGAATGAATTGAACACATGAGCCACAAACATGAATGCCTTTAAGCCCCCCGGAAAAGTTTCCACAGCCAGCGTGCTGGCAGGACCGTTTCTGGTGTGTGGACTTTAAAGACAACCCACAACCAACCCCCCTGAAAACCACCGTCAGCTTACACACCTGGTGGAGCAGAAACTAGAATGTTCTCACCGCGGGGTTCCACCGGGGCTGAAAGACTCAGCACACATTCCAGCTCACAGCTGAATTGCTTACATTAAATACATTCGACTTAAATAACAGAAGGAAAAATACATCGAACCACTCCAAGGACATTCTTTGGCAAAGGGTCCTTTTCTGCATCAATGGAAAAGTACAAGTTACAGCAACCTGAGTAAGTGTCATTATCCCCGCCTGCAAACCACACCTGCTAGTTCCTTTCCCGTGTGATACTTAGGAAGAGTCTCCCAAGAAAGAATGCTCGGTTCATTCAGTCCTTTACTTATGGATTCATTCATCCTTTATGTTCTACTGTGGCTCTGTGTGTGTGCGTGTGCGTGTGCGTCCTATCGAACCTCCAGGCCATTTGGGAGAGCTGGCCTCCAGCAGGGCCCTCCAGCCATGTCGCTCCCAGACGGAGGGTCTCCTTAGAGTCCTCTGCCCCCTCCCTGCCTCACTCCTGGGAGCTGTGGTCCTGGTCAGCTGCCCAGGCACCTGGACGATTCCACCAGAGCATCCGTGGCTCGTCTCTCCCCAGGTGGCACTATGTCCGTCCCCTCTCCACGTGGCCAGCGCCCCAGCAACCAGAGGAGAGAGCTCACTCCCGCCTCCAGAACCTGGTGGTGGATCGAAGCCCCAGCCCTGCACCTGCCCAGGAAGAAACTGTCCTCTGCACTGAGTGGCACAGCTCTGCTGACCTGTGCAGCTTTGTCTGAGCTGTCACCTCTTCCATCAGACGTCCCCAGAGTGGCCTTCGATGGAAACCTTCTCAATCTGAAACAACTGCTCGCTCCGGAAGGTCATCAAGCTCAGTCACCTCCTTGCCACCCTCTCAGGAGGCCGCAGGCCGGACTGGGTTCCCAGGCCTCAGGACAGTGGCCCACATATTAGGGATACTTGTTTAGGATTTTCTCACATCCCCGACCTGATGGAAAGCTTCACGTGGGCAGGTGGCGCTAAGACAATGTGAATAAAGGATGTCCATCAAGGTCAGTTGGGATCTCACAGTGGCGGCAGATGGAGGAACTGGCCCCAAGACATCAGAAGGCAACTGCCCTGGGGCGCCTGGGTGGCTCAGTTGGTTAAGCGACTGCCTTCGGCCCAGGTCATGATCCTGGCGTCCCGGAATCGAGTCCCGCATCGGGCTCCCTGCTCTGCAGGGAGCCTGCTTCTCCCTCTGACCCTCCCCCCTCTCATGTGCTCTCTCTCATTCTCTCTCTGTCTCAAATAAATAAATAAAAATCTTAAAAAAAAAAAAAAAGAAGGCAACTGCCTGACAGCCCAGACAACAAAACAAATGGACTCTTTCAGGCTGACTCGAGAAACACCGCGGGGAGGGACCACAATCTTTGTGTTGGTTCATGGGTTCTTCTATAAAGAGCTCCATCAGCAAGCATAACAGACTAAAGGTACTGTCATAAATCGGTTTGAATATAAACAATATGCATATGCATGCCAGCTCTTTATCATATTTGAATATACATACCATATACAAAGATGCATTTACACGTCCACATTTATTCCTGAGAGTTAAAGGGAAAATACTTAAACGGTTTTCATAGCACACACTCTAATTGAAATTAAAGGTCCTTTAAAAACTAAGACAAGGGCGCCTGGGTGGCTCAGTTGGTTAAGCGACTGCCTTCGGCTCAGGTCATGATCCTGGAGTCCCGGGATCGAGTCCCATATCGGGCTCCTTGCTCAGCAGGGGGTCTGCTTCTCCCTCTGACCCTCCCCCCTCTCATGTGTGCTCTCTCTCTCTCTCTCATTCTCTCTCTCAAATAAATAAAAAAAATCTTTAAAAAAAAAAAACTGTAAGACAAAACAAAACAAAAACCAATGATTCATCCATGCCCACGGGAAGAACATTTCCTAAGCCGTTCTGCCTGCACCAAAGCCTAGGAGGGGAAAAAAAAGACCAAAGGGCCAAGACCTCCCCAGAAAGGGCTAGTGGGTAAAAAAAAAATAACCTCGGGGGCAGGCAGAGCTGGGGGATGTGAATCCAGGCTCCCGCTCTTGATAACTAGGTATCACTGAGCAAGTTCATTAGGCTCCCCGACCCTCCTCAGGTGTTCTGCTAAATAGAGCTAAGTAGAGTTCATAAGTTAACGCGTGCACAGGTCCTATGGCCACTGCCTGGCAAACAGTAGGTGCCCAAGAAATTTTAGTTCCCTTCCCCAAGTGAGGTGCTATTTCTAACAGCTGTGGAAGGTAGGGGATGCATGCCCCTGCCTCGGCTGGCTTTGTTCTGGGATTCACCAAAGACACCAAGCTGACAGCACTGGGGCTCAGAGGGCTGTAAGCATGATCAGCTCTATCGTAACCAGAGCCGGGGACTTTTCCCCCTCGAGCGGTAGACACGTGGCAGGA